CCGGCTGGACGTGGCCTTGGGCAACCTGGGCTAGTCAGAGGTGTCCCTGCCCATGGCAGGGGGGCTGCAACTTGATGATCTTCAAGGTCCCTTCCAACCTAAACCATTCTATGATTCTGTGGATCTACCAGGTTGGCAGAAGTTTAGATGGCACCAGTCATATTTTCTTTTTCAAGAATAAGCTGTTGTGATCTCTGGTTCTCCTTCCCTGCAGCTGACAGGTTCACAGGGATCTTGCATTTTTGGGAGGGGGACATTCTGCATTGCAGGAGAGCATGGAACAAAACTGTAAGGAAAGAATCAGAAGAAGGAAGAGAAATATGATAATGACGTATAGCCCAAAAGCACCTCCAGATCAAAAACTCCCTTTTCTTTTCTCCAGAAATCAGAGCTGGCCACAAAGGGTTTGGGCTGAAGCAGCGGCTGAGGGGGCCATGGCGAGGGTGGGGGGAGCAGCTCTGAGCATCCCGGTTACACTGCTGTTGAAATCAGGGCTTTGGGACGGCTGTAGCCACCCCCAGGGTGTTCCCAGATAACGGACCCACGCCGAGGCACAGATAGCAGCGCCCTGCTCAAGGTCTGGGTTTGAGCCCAGAAAGTCGTCCGTACGTGTTGGTACGTGTTGATTTCTGCATGAAGATAACCTTTGTGCCATTAATGCAGCCCAGCGTCTGGTTTCCAGAACAACCTGGTAACGGCGTTATTCTTTTTGTTAATTGTGCTATCCAAATAGAAACTTATGGACCTGATTTTCTGCTGTTAGGCAGCAGAAAATTAACGATACCAGTGTACAGCTGACAAAATTGAGTAAAGACTCAGCTATTGTACCAGCAGTTCAGCCTGTCTTTCCCAGAAAGAAAAAGTTTCAGGTATCCCACGACACCATCCTGCCGTGTAGTTTTCCTGGGGTCCTGAAATTCCCAACACTGTGATGTCTGCCCCCAATTTGAGGTGAATAAAGTGATGTTGCCTGACCAATTATTCAGTATGTCATCTCAGTGGTAGCATTAATACCTTCCCCATTCAGTGGTGTAATGTTTTGGGTGCCAACTGCATCTAAGGCTCAGTAAGCCTTACTAGCCTTATTTCTTGGCCTTACTAAATCCTTGCCAGATTTGGGAAAACCAGCGTTTGTAGTGAGGGTGCCTCCTGCACTGAGCTGCTGGTGGAAAGAGATGGAGGAAGAAACACCTTAGAATCCATGGGCTCGAACCAGATCCTCTCCAAAACAGCCCTTCTCTGCTGTGTCCAGAAGGTGCTGAGCAAGAGTCGTCATCCACCTGCTGGAGATGCTCAACAGAGATGCTCCTCAGATGAGCTGGTGGCTCCGTGCAGCTCTGCTGCAAGGGGTCTAAGGTGCAAGAAGGCAGATACAGCCGCTAAGGCTGACCTCCGGAGCACACAGCTTACCTCTTTGTCCTACACGTTGGACTGAACCTTGTCTTTCACAGCAACACCTCGTCTGGGGTTAAGGACTCCGAGTCATAACAGTTCCACCGTCCTTGCTCAGAAACCACTCTCCCTAATTACCCTTTCAGCTCGGATAATTCCGCTTTCAAAGCTGAATATTTCTATTTCAGCCTTTACCTGTGGCATCCTGTTACGCCAGAAATGCACTTCCAACATCAGATATTTTTTTCATATGGAGGGGGCCTGGAAACTCTGCTTGTACCCACTGTCCCCTCACTGGGCTGCGTTTGGGAACGAATCATTCCTCTATGACATACACAGTTCGTCACATGTAATTTGGGGGGGGGGGTGATGTTTAAACTGAAGGTATGGAAGCACCCTGGTGGACCACTGGACGCAGGGCGAGGAGGACCCAGCAGCGAGACACCCTCCAGCAGCTCACCCCACGGCCATTGCATCACCTCCATCCCCAGGACACCTCAGGTTCGCCCTTCGGCGGCGCGGGCACGGCGAGCGCACAGGCACGTTTGCCTTATACAATACAAGAATGGCCAAAGGGCGATTTTGCCTGTCTTAGACAAAAAGGCGGCCGGTGAACTGCCCTCTCCCACGAGCCCCAGCGCTCAGCCTATGAGATAATTTGGGCTGGCCTTTTCTTTGCAGCTGTATTGTTTTAGTGCTTGGAAAATAGCAGCAGGCTGAGCAATGAGTCATCTGTCACTAGATGGGGTTAAAGTAATTTCCGTTTTCTGTTGCCATGGGGAAATCAACGTCCTAAGATTTGTCCTTTCTCCCACTCAAACATGTGGGAGTAGAAAGCCTGAAACCCAGCAGGGCTAAACAGGTTGGGGTTTTTTTTGTAATTTTTGATATATTTTTTTTCTCCCCCCCTCCCCTTATAAACAAAGTTCCCTCTGTGGCCTTGCAGCTGTCAGTCCGTTCCCGGAATGGTTCAGTTAACAATGTCATTCCCCTTGGATTGCAAAAAATCCAGAAACAGAGTTTAAGTAAATATTTGACGTTCCTATAGGAGTTGCTTCATGTTATCACTTATAAGAGTCTCTGTGGCTTGTAAAGTTTTATGTGTGCATTCGAGGGGGTTATAAACTCGATATTATACAAATAAAAGTGAAACTTATAAAAAAAAAAGTAAATTAAAGTAGCAGCTCACCCAGCATTCACAATATAGTGAATAACAGAAACAGGAAAGAGGAAATTGCAGTAAATGCTGTTTAAAAGCCTCGCTAACGTATAGCTTATATGAGTAGCAGCATAGCAACATCTAGTGTCGATCAGGGATATCGTCGTACTTCATTAATGGCAGTGGGATGAAATCCGCAGGCAGGGAACTGGCTTTTCCCGGACCACCACGCCACTACCCAGCCACAACCCCGGCTCCTTCTCCCCTGTGTTTCATAACATGTCCTTTTTTTTCATGCTCCGTGTCACTGCCCTTCGTTAGCTTTGCAGAAGTGCAATCATCTGGTAACGCTCTCGGTCTGTCTGGATCGTTATGAAAATTATTGTGGTCATATTTAAGAGCCGACTCAATACATCTACAGGTTTAAATGTGATTCAGTGCAACGGTGGCCAAAACTTTTAGCACCTCAACTGCTATTCAGAAAGCAATTTCTACCTGACAGCTGAGGACGTTACCAACCGCACGGTAAAACCCAGGGCCAACTAAACACTGCTGTCAAAGGGGCAGAGTGCTCAGCGTCACACCTTCCCCTCGCAATGAGCGCGCAAGGGTGAGGTTGCAGTGCTGTGGGGTATGTGAGAGAAGGCTGTGTGTTCGCCCTCCCGTGTCACCCCGTGAATGCCGGGATTACACTATTACCCATAGTTTAAGACTATCTATAGAAAAATTGACTGAGGCACGTTTTGAATCCCATGTAGACACATCTTTTCATCTAAAAGACACCTGATGCCCCAAGTTCCTTGCTAGTTAGCTCCTTTGCAGGTATACGATATGGATTAACATTAGTTTAGTTTTGATTAGTAAAGTTTAACTAAACTAATTAGTTAAGTTTAACTAAACTAATCGAGTTCAACTTAATATTAATTTGGGGTTTTTTAGTGTAGGTTTAGTTATTTTTAATGCCTTTGTTAAACTCACGCAGTGTCCTTCATATAAGTACGCCGTTACATCAGGGCTCACTCAGGACTATTTAAATAAAATGATTTGTCTCCTTAGATTACAGCTCCTATTACATGGGGTTTGCTTCATCTTCAGTAAAATAACATCCTTTGGGTTTTCTCAAACAAAACAAAATTCATGAATGGCTGCTTTCCAAATCCAGCTCTGTCTTGCAACACCCTGTGAACAGATTTTTTGCCACGTTTAAGTTTATTACATGATCTAATTAGCATGACTGTGTAGGTGCGTGGAATGCACTGGGGGAGAGGAAAAATACAAGTGTACAAAATGCTGTTATATAATTTGCTATGGGGACACGCTTATTAAAGACAGAGACCCGGTTCATTCTCCAGATGCTTTTCAACAGGATTTTCAGCAAGGAAAAAAGAAAGGACATTCAAGTCGATAGCAGAGGAAATGGTAAGCACAGGAAGGACTGAACGCTGCCTGATTTTTGTGACTTAAAAATAAAATTACGATTTAAAAAAGGTTTTAGTTCTATACTCACGTTTGCTGCTTTTGTCTCCAGATAAAACAATTCAGTAAAAGTCAATGCGTGACTCAAAGCAAGGACTGCAAACTTGTCAGCTACCCTGCGAGGCTCGCCCTTCATCAGACAACGAAACACAACTTCTAATTAACAGTAAGAAAATACAGATTGTTAACCATTCCGGCCATGAGAAAGGCAGTAGGGTGTCTATTGGAAACACGCAGCCAGAACAGAGATCGGAGCTCTGCTTCACGTTATTGAGACATTCACACTGCCCTGACCAAACTAAACGGGAAACTCAATAACATAAAGCTATCGGGCTCTCTTTCTTGCTCCTGCATGCGTGAAATGACATTTTTAAGTTACGTGTGATCTTTCAGAGCCTTTAAAGGGGTCAGGCACTCGGCGCATCTGGCATGCCGAGCTTCTCATTCAGGAACATGAAGTCATCCTCCAATTTGCGTTCCCGAGTCAAGAATGTGTAATTTTCCACGTGTCACTTTACCGACTTGCACATTGAACAGAGATTAATGTTAATTTCATAGAAGATTGGGCACATTTAAGGAAATTGCAAGCCCTGCTAATTGTGTTTTAATTAAGCTAGAAGCGGAATAGCGTTTGATAAAGAGGGCTGATGTTGTTTGAATAAACACGCTGCACACAGCCTGCTGCGCGATGCCATGCATCAGTTCAGTGCCGAATCCCGCCCGACGGGGTGAATCGGGTACTAGAGGATCTTCAATGATTAAAAAATTGCCACTCTGCTATCCCCCGCCATGCGGAGGGGACGTTGTCATCGCAGTGGCCCGAGGGGCCACCACCTTGCGAGCCGGCTTACCCCGAAGCGCGACCGTCCCGTTTCAGTCTACTTTCGGAGGAATTGGGATGTGCCCTGGGGCACACAGGGTGGGGGGGAGGTGGGGACTACCCAGTGCCACCCTGGCTGGTGGCAGCGCTCCAATGGGGCTGCCACAGCTCTGCAAGGAGTTTGACGATTATCAGCAGCGCGCCTCGGGGACTGCATACGGTAAAGCACACAACACGATTGCTTTGCCTCCTGCGATCAAAATATTTGCTGTGGCAGGTAGGGAGAAACAGGGCTCCAGTCTGATGAGCAGCGGGAGACACCCTGCCCTAATCCCTTTGAAATCAAAGGCCTTTCCCCCGCCATGCCCAGGAACAGATCCTAGGAGGCACCTCCAGCCTCCAAAGCACCTCCAGAAGCTCTCAGCGCCCTTATCTTTCACATTTGGGGCAATCGAAGACATCAACAGCATCAGCTGTGTGATACGCTAGATTTTAAGTCACAGGCTGGAGCGTATTCCCTCGAATTTTCCCTGCTACAAACACTACACCGACAATAACTCTCCCTGGGGAGAAGGCGGTCCTGCTCTGGAGGACGCATCTGTGTCCCGCAGAGGCTGCCGGCACCGAGGGGGCCGGTGTCACGCTGGCCGCGACAGGCAGGTCAGCGCTGGAAACAACAACCCCGGCTGCTGTCAGCAAGTTTCTGGCTCTCTCTGCACCGGGAAGCGGTCCGTCCTCTTGGGAAGACGGATGAAGGAGTAATTCAGAAATCACAGGATGGGCTTTCTGCAGCTGAAAGCGAAGGGCAACGAATCTGGAAAGAGAAAAAAAAACCAAAACCCACCCAAGATATTCCTGGGGGTGAAGGGGCCTTATTTACTACACTGTAATACCTTCTGTTTCTGTAGGAACATCTGAAGATAAACAGAATAGTGCTTCACGGTGCCAGGTAAACAGCTCTCGCATGCCATGGCTACGGTCTCTAAGGAGCTTCTGTTTATTATGAACCGTCTCTGCCTCAGCTTTAGCTACAAGGCCTCGCTGTGAATCCAGCAGGGAGAGGCTCACAATGAAAGTGAAGAGCTTGCATGAAGTTGCCAGAGGGATACTTATTACCTTTGGGATTATAACCTTTTTTTTTTCTCCCCTGGAATTTTTGGTTTTTTCCCTGGTTTGTTGGTTGGTTGTTGTTTTTTTTTTGTATAAGCCCTGGTTCATTGGAGGGAGTGTTTGCCTTGCCAGTCCCATTTGGAATGGAGCTTTGGTAGGCAGAACAAAACTGTTATCAAAGAAAAGATGTTAGTGATGCTACAGAGACTTTGAAAAGTCAACTATGTCTGAATTATTTATTTCCTAGCTCCTGTGAAGTCTCTTTAAACAGAGAAATGCTTGGAATTACATGAAACTAAAGCGAGAGGCTCCCTGGAGACTCTTAATAAGTTTTAAATTCGCAGTAAATATTGGTATATTGATTATTATCATGACCTGCTGATTTTTAACTTCCCTTTACAGAGAAAACCCAAACTTTCTCATTCTGAACCAAATTTGGATTGTTAAACATAAATTAACATCCCCTGGGGCTATGCTGGTGTAATTGGGATCATTGTTTCTCTCTTCTCTTTGGTTCATTTCCTAAGCTTTTGCCTTTCCAAAGGGATGCTGTAAGTGATGCAATGAGACGAGTACAACAAGCTGTACAGAGTAAAAGCACAGGTGGACACGTGGCCCTGAAACCCTCAACTGAGAGCGTGATGCACCCCTGGTGCCTCCTCATGGAAACCAGCTGGTTGCACAACGTAAAAGCCCATGAGGTTTTTTTGGGAAGCGCTGAGGAAGCTGAGTCCAAAGGGGGGTTGGAGGAAAGGTGAGTATTCTCCATCTCACCCCAATGGTTGGGGAGGAAGATGTCCAGGGGACTCCTACCCTTGGTTTTCCAGGGGACTTGATCATATTCTTGTGATTTGGATAGTAATGATTTAGCCATGGGGTTTTATACCCGTGTACTCCCATTGCATGGCTGATAAACCATGGGCCAGTTTGTTCTTTTCTTTTTAATCCAAAAAGAGAGAGAAAAAATTTTTTCATGGCACTGTCATTTCTGATGTCCTCATACCAAGGATTTGACTACAGCGCTTTATGGCTTTCCTTAGCCTTCCATCAACCTTGGGATGTTTATTTTTCTTCAAACAGCCGTTTGCAGCACGCTAACAAGAACTGAAGATCTTTTAACACTGCGATTTGTTTACTGAAGACATCAAAGTCTTTTTTTTTACCCCTGCAAACCTTCTTTGTGTCAGTACAATCTGCAAACAGCCACACAAAACCAAGGTGTGCTTTGTGTAGGGAGAAATAAAACCACAGAGCACAGAAGACACAGATATTTTCTTCTCTGAGATTCTAAATTTAGCTCTGCTTCATCTCTCACTCTTCAGCTTCTCAAACTGTTTGCTCCCAACTGAGACCCCTGTGGTTTCAGCAGACCATCCTATTGCCTTCAAGTTGGGTGGAAGAATACGACTGCAAATGTGGACAGTGGTGGTGACAGCAGCTGATCTAAACCCAGTATTTTGTAACATCTATGAACAGACGTATTTCCTCATTTCACTTTGACGGCCGAGATTCTATGCTATGCTAATAGGAAGCGGCACTCTGAATTTTTTGCATTAGGTCCCGTCAGTTTTTGGTTCAGACCCAAGCTGCGGGTGCTGGGCAGTACTCAGTGGTGGAAATGACAGATGTTGGCAGCAAATTAAATAATAAGTTTGGCTGAAAATAAATAACATCCTAAGAAATACCGGGGCATCCTTTTTATGGATTTCCTAGACGTGTTGAGGTTATTTTAAGGCCAATTGAACTCCCACTTCTTAAAGTATAAACAGGATTATTCCTTGTACGGAACATGAGGCCATGTAAATGTCACCGTTTGTGTATTATTGGTATTTCCAGTCATACTTCAAGTATTGCCTTGCCCCAAACATTCATCCCACCATTCAGAGCCCAGTAGCGGTCTTCAGAGAGCATTAGCATTGGCAATGCATCAAGGAAAGTCTCTGTGGAGGAAAACCTAAAGTCTCCCCATGGAGGAGGACCTACTAGAGTGGCACCAGCTCCCTCAGGAGCTGTTCAACCAGTTGGCTGTGGCATGGACAACAGGGAAGATGAGGGTGAGAAAGGAGGTGTGATCCCACCTCGAGTACTGTGTTCAGTTTTGGGTCCCTCACTACAAGAAAGACATTGAGGTGTTGGAGCATATCCAGAGAAGGGCAATGAAGCTGGTGAGGGGTCTGGAGCACAAGTGTTATGAGGAACGACTGAGAGAACTGGGGTTGTTGAGCCTGGAGAAGAGGATGCTGAGGGGAGACCTGATCACTCTCTACAACTACCTGAAAGGAGGGTGTAGAGAGGTGGGGGCTGACCTCTTCTCCCTAGTGCCAAGTGATAGGACGAGAGGAAATGGGTTCAAGTTATGCCAGGTGAGGTTTAGATTGGATATTAGAATATTTTTTTTTCACTGAAAGGGTTATTAAACATCGGAATAGGCTGCCCAGGGAGGTGGTGGATCCGCCATCCCTGGAGGTATTTAAGAAAAGGGTAGATGTGGTACTTGGGGACATGGTTTAGAAGTGGTTTTGTCAGGTTAGATTAACAGTTGGACTTGATGATCTTAAAGGTCCCTTCCAACCTCAACAGTTTTATGATTCTATGACAAGGACTGACCAATAGGGGTTTTATTCCACAAGGAAGCACCTCACCCCAAGCTGCGTTGGCTGGAGGTCACAGAGCGGGCAAATGCCCGAGGCATTCCAGGAGTCGGGAAGGGTGACTTGCAAGGTCAGTGAGGGTCAGTAAGGCAGATCTGCACGGACAAAGTACAGGTGAGGAGAAACGCTGACTACATCTGTTGGGGAGGGATGGTGTGTTAAGGGCATTTTCAGCCGCATCGGACTCACTCGTTAATCACCCGGCGGCGGGTGTAGTTCACCCCATCACAGCAGGGGAAGACGTTCTGCGTGGCATGGTGCTCCTGGCAGCTTTGGAGACCCGGGCAGGAGGGGCTGGGTGGCAATAAGGTGTGCCGTTCAGCAGCTCTTAACCCTGAAAACACCCAGAGGAGATGCAAAGGACAAGCAGCACAAACCTTTCCCCTTTCACTCGCTTTAAACTGGGCAAACGGCGCTGCTACCACAGGGTGCAGCCAAAGAGGCTGCAAAGTCTGTGGGACACAGCAGTTTTTGGCCACCTCCCCTAACTTTGGGTGCTGCTGAGCTTGGGTATAGCATCTGGCTCAGCAAAGCAGGGCTCAGCCCCCCAGGGGTGAGGGACAAAAGGAGCAACTGTCCCCCAGCCCCAGGGTCCCCATGGGTTGGGAGCGGGGACACGGCCCCCGCGGTGACACAGCCAGGCTGCCCCGCACCCAGGTGTCTCCTGCAGAGCACTTCCAGAGTCTTGCCTTAAGGAATAAAACAAAATGGCAGAGCCTTAAAAAAAAAAAAAAAAAGTTTTAAGCACATCCAACTTTGGGATAGAGCAGAAAATTTCTTGCCAGAGAATTTAAAACAAACTGGAAACCGATCATCCACTCATTTAAAAGATGTGCCTGGAGCTAAACCAGCGAGGCTGAATAATCTCTGCACTGCTTTCATCCTTCTTCAATTTTTTCTTTGTTCCATCAGCCACATGTGCATTAAGTGTAAATTGAAGGGCTCTTAGCTGGAAAAGCAGATTGTGCAAAGGGCCTGGCCCTCATCTTATAATTCAGCTTCAGTATTACAATTACTCTTAATAACACTCTTATTTTGTTGTATTATTTATTCTGGCTAGCACCCTCTAGGATCCCTTGAAGGCTTTTTTTTTTTTTTTTTTCCTGGTGGATTTAGCCAACATCCACTCATGAATCCAGATGTTTCTGCTTCTATCCACAGGAATTTTATGGTATGGATATGCCAAGATTGTAACTTCAGGCTCAGCCTCAAGACAAGTATTTTTCAAATTCCCTAAATCAAAAATGGAAAGTGCCACGAAAAACCTGGGCTTTACTGCCTTTAGCGTGCCAGAATGGAAATCAAACCACAGGACGGTATTGCTCAAGGTTCTGGATCGGGGTTGGTACAGATTCCTACGTCGCACCAGAAATTACAGCCCAGATCGTGCTATTTTCCGTGTTCTCGGGCACAGGCTCTTGCCTTTAGCACATCTTCAGCGCTTCTTTCCATTCACCGGCCCGAAGTGAAGAGCAAAGATACATGTGGGGCCAAGATGCTTACGCTGGAAAAAAGATTACTCACTGCAAGCCAGAGCCACTGCTGGTGCATTGAAATGAATGAAAACGCGCCCGTGTATGTCCGCTCATCAACGCAGATACTCTCCCCAGTCAAAACTGGTTCCGAAATAAGGGCAGTGACGAAATGCACCCTGCCCTGATGGGGACCTGGTGGATAACAGCGGTGTCTGCTGTGCCTTTGACAGCACTTAGGAAGAATAACCAAATCCAAACTCATTCCTTATCCCGAGTGACAAAAGCAGCATGAAGCAAGTGTTAAAATAACCTTAATAACCTTCCTTTCTGCACCGCCCGGGGTTTCCTTCGGGCACTCCCATTTGTGGCGTCCTGACTTTCTTCTCTACTCCGTGTTTGTCGGTGTGAGAACCCCAATTGAAGGCGCGGTGCGGTGGTGGGCAGTGCCAGCGTGGTGGCTTGGACGGTGTCCCCTGTTGGGGCTGGCCGTGTCCTTCCGACTGCCCCGAGGTAGCGCAGGAGCACGAGAATGGCGAGCGCAGGAGATGCACAGAACAGGTTATGTTGGCCTTTTGGCAACGAACAGTACACATCGCCTGTGGCCACCCTGCGCGAGAAAGGATGCGACGTCATGCCTGAGCCCACAAAAGGTGAATTTTAGCTTTTCCTCCAGGACATTTCTGACTGGCCCTGACCACACACCCTGGTCCTACCTCTGCTGTGCCTGATCCAACCCAGGAGGAGAAGAAACATGGAGCAGTTATTCCAGCCTGGCAGAGAAGAGCATGGAACAGCTCTTCTCTTGACCCCCAAGAGGCTCCAGCGCAGCAGCTAGTTATTGCTCCCTCTAATAGCATTACTTCTTTACCTGCAGAGTTGTTGGATCAAAGGAAGCTTAAATTATTCCTAAAAGCTCTTCTAAGGCTTCGCCCAGCACGGAAAAGCCTCTCAGCTGACACAAAGGATGGAGCCGGCTCCACAGCAAACCCCCGTGGGGCAGGGATGCGCTGGGACGAGGAGGAGGTGCTGAGCACCCCACGCCGGGACAGCCCGCGCCGGCTGGAGCACCAACGCTTTTCACCCCCCTACCTACCCCAGAGCTGAACACGGCCACCCCAAAAAGATGCTGCGTGGACCCGCTGAGGGCAAGGGCAGGCAGTCACTCCGCGCGAGGTGTCAGCAGTCGGGTTGACAAATCCCGGGGTCCACGCGGTGTCACAGGCAGGAGGCAGCAAGGGAGCAGCGGGGTTAATCGGGACGATGCGTTTGAAGGGGAAAGCCCTTTTCCTGCTAATGTCATGGATCAAATGCGGTGTGCGGGGCTGACGGAGGAGGGAGCGCATTAACTCTCCCACCAGCACGGTAGTTCTGCCAGTTCCTATCACATTTTCTGGTTTATAATGAGGAAATTCATTAGTATTCGAGTATGCAGTTCAAATCTTAAAGGCCACCCACTGTACTTAGATGTATATGACAAACTGCATAAGTATACCTGTTCCAATTTATTCTCCTGGCTTTTTTTAGTAAAATATGGTTTCAATGACTTTGTCTTCCTTGTAAAAAAAAGATCCACATTTTTCTTTAATAAGTTCATGACATTCAAGCTACTAATTTTCCTTACCATCACATCCCTTTTTGGACACAGAATAAAGGATATTGAATATAAAAAACCAAGTTAGGTTGTTTTTTTTTTCCAAGTTGGAAATGAAGAAATACAAAAATACTGAGCTCTTTAGTTTTAAAGTTGTTTTTTTTTAAAAAAAAAAAAAAATCTCTCAGCAGGTCAGAAAAGTGATAAAATGCTTTTGTCTCCATTTCAGTGGGAGGCGAGTTTCGCCTTCGGCATACCGAGCATCACGGGCGCCTCAGTGTAATTTGCTGCTGCCCATTGCGTGTCTTCTCCTTGGCCCGTACTGCTAGTGCTCGCTCGCTGGGATCACTGGGAGAGGCCACCAGGGTTACACAGTCCTGTTCCCCCTTCCCTAAGTTGTCACTTCCCAAACCTCTGCAAAGACCCATCCCGTTAGGACTGGTACCACCTCACCCTACAAATTCTGGACCTGTGCTCCAGTTTGGCCATATTCTGTGCATCTTTGGGTTTTGTGACGACTTTTGCGAGACTGCACCAGTGTGGACATCTAAACATGAGCATCGGTCACGGCGGGGAAGGTGAATTGACACCTGTAATGCCGTTAGCAGCAGCCAGGAGGGTGGCACGGCTGTGCAAGGACTGGGAGATCCTAAATGCGCTCACATCAGGATCAGTAGTGCCTCTGAAGCCATGTGCATCGTTCCATTAAATCACTTTAGGAACTAGTAATTTGGCCTTTCACACCCATTACATCGCAGTGCTGTTTCAACTAAAGGCACACACCTTCAGCGTACATAGCCTGGGCCTCAGAATTTAAAGGCTGGACAAAATTTTATGGAAATCACACAATTTGCTTTTGACATTACGGAAAGCAGAACCTGAAGGTTTGCCTTTCTGCTCTCCCTCACAACCATGAGCGCTGCACTGCCATTAATGCACGGAGCTGTTAAAACCTGCGCAGACGTAGATCTGTTACCTGAACAGCAAAAGAAGTGTGAAAAATAACCACCACACAGCACATGTCACCTCTGCTGCAGGCAGAGCCTTGGGCAGCAGCACCTCGGCAGCGTGGGAGGACGGGAGGTGAGGGCAGGAGGAGGAACAGGCTTTTGGGTGACCCAGAGCGGAGACAGAGCCCAAGCACCACGCTCCCAACCGGCTCCCGCGTGAGGCACAGCATCGATTTCCAGCCCCGACGTACCTCCAGCTCACCCACCTCGGAGGACTCGCTGCTGGGTCAGACATCCACAGGTTTTGCTGTGCTGAGGAAAATCTCACCTTCTGCTCGTCCAGTCCCTTGGGGTTTGTTTTTTTCTTCCCTGTAACCTTTGTTTGGAGCCAGTCTCGAATCCCTGAAAATAACGGTGTTTCCATGACAACAGCCCAGCAGTGGACTCCTCTGGGCATCTGAAAAAATCAAAACACGGCCAGTGCTTCCTCCTGCTCCGGCATCACACCCTGTGGTACCACAGCCCCGTCCTGTCGCCTCTCCCTCCTCTTGTGCTGAAGCAGACGGCAAACTACTTTGGGCAGAGCTCCGTCTGCTTTGGCATCGCCGGCATTTACTGCACGATAAACCACGCTTATCACCACGCTGCACAAGTGATGTAGGGGCAGGTATCAGACCACAGTACCAGCTCACAGGGCGGGAGAAAGGCCGAGAGGGTCTGCAGGCTAAAGGACAGCTAATTGGACAGCTGTTGGATTTTGTAATCCCCTAAGCTTTATTAATAAGATTGATAATTTTCACGCCCTCCCTGGTATTTTACAGAGGATATGGAATGATCCTTTGTTATTCACAGTCACTGCTTTGCTTCCAATGCACGGCATTTCTCCTGCCCCGCTTCAGCAAAGCCCTGCAACCACCGAACCCCCTGGTCCCGACCTGGCCAAGCACGCCAAGGGCCCCGCCGAGACCAGAAGCATCCCCAGAGGCATCCTCTCCTCGAGCGGGACAGGGTACCAGCCCCTTGCAGAATCAGGCCCTGCTTGCCCAAGCATTCCCTCCCGCAGGCGGCACAGCCGGTACCTTGCCCAGAGACCGGCTCCAGCTGAGCGCCCAATTGATCCATCGCTCTTGAGGCTGCTCCAAAACCCCATCCCTTCCCTGCAGCACTTCTGTCTTCCCTCAGACTGAGATTTATGAGGGTTATCCGTGGATGCGGCTGCAAGAAAAGAGTCCAAAAGCTTTTGTTGCAGTGCCGCGAGCAGCAGTAAAACAGCAAAAGGCTCTTTGCATACCTGATCCTCGCTGAAGGGTTACGAGCAGGACACCCAGACACAGACAGCGAGCTCTGAAGCGGGACCTGAGGAGGCAGCATGGACGCATGCCAACCTGACAATGGGGTTTCATTTAACGAGCGTGGATTTAAGTGTGGAAATCAAATATGAAACAGTCCTAGCCAGCATTGTCTGCATTCTTGGAGTGGCACTGAACTAGCAGAAAGAAAAGAACTGAGACACTGGCCCAGACATGCTCCAGCTGTCTGCGACTACCTCTTCCCTCCTCCACTGAATGTAACTATTCAGCTTGTTTTCATTTCATTATTGGATGTTATTTTTGCAACCTGGGAAAAGAATAGAAAAGGGGAAAGAAAAAAAAAAGTCCTTAAAATGCTTTTGGTTTATTTTTAAGAGCTAGACCATTTCTTTCCTTTTTATCAGAGATAAAGTACAGACTTTTAAAAGTGCAGGAGACCTATGGTATTATTAGTTAAGCATTTGTTTCTCAAATAAAATCCTTTCTCTCAGAGGCAGCAGCATTTGTGTTGCTGTGGTTATTCACGTAAGTCGCAGTCATTTAGTACTGAGCAACACGCAATTAAATAGCCATATAAAACACCCACAGGGTGAGCAACCGCTGCCTACAGGTAACCTTACATTTCAGGCACTCACTTGCCAAACGTTTCAGCTGTAGGCACATAAATCCTCATTTGCACATGGGAGCGGGGCAGGCCCTTTCCTCCATCACTGTGGGTAGGGAAACAGGAGGCACTCCTTCACCAGGCACAGGGCAAATCAAGCTGTTAATGAGTTGGTTAAAAGCCTGATGCCGCAGACGGCTATTAACGGGAGCGCTTCTCGACCCACCGCGGGGTCAGCCCTTCCCCAACTTCCCTTTTCCCTCCTCTGCCTTCCTCTCAAGAGCGCAGCTTATCCATTTTTAATGTTGAAAAGAATTCACATCCCAGATGTGATGGTAATTTATTTTCCCCTCTCTTTACGCCAGTTTTGCTTGACAGGGAAATGCCAGCATGCACCACCCGTCCCCCTCCCCAGCTGGGGACACCCCACCCTATGAAAAAGTCAAACGCTTGCCAGAAGAAGGGACAGGATTATATAGTTTCCCACTGAGCGTCCTGGGAATCCCTAGTTTGTGCTGGACTTCTCTGGAAAAATCTTCCCTCCATTTTGATGCCGATACACTTCAGCACAGCCGCAAGTTTTCAATGGCACTTCAAGGGAATAAGCAAGATTCAGGGTTTTTCTCACCATTTTATTTGTCTTCCTCCTTGGGACAAAGACATATATGCTAACCCAGGAGCTCTCTCATGTCAGCTTTTGCACACTCCTGCCGTATTCCTGGCAGAAGGTCATATATGCTTTGATGTGAGTTGTTGTCTCTCTCCAAACATTGTTTTGTAACATCCAAAGCAGGTCTGCAATTCTAAATTTGGAGGTTTTAAGTTCCAGCTAAGATTTTTGAAGTGCACGTGCAACAGCTGCTCACTACATGCAGATTGTTTCTTCCTATGAATGGCATTACTCTAAGGATTTGCGTGGAGAAGTTTTAATCTTATTTTAGCTTATTCCAGCCAGTTCGGCAAGGGGAGAGCCCTTCAACCTCCTACTCCAGCATGGTCCTCCCCTGGGCTGGCCGGACCTGAGCATGGCACTCGCCAGTGACACTGGAGCCACGAGGCATGGCAATCTGCTCCCCAAGGCACTGAGCCGACCCTGCCGGGCAATCCGGGGGCCTGAATAAGTGTTAAAGCGGACTGGAAGATGGGAAAGAAATTTTAGAGTGTTTCTTGAAATTATGTTCTTTCCATTTGAGGGCATTCAAATTAGATAATTTCCTTTTTCATCTTGACTTGTTTCCCTTTTGGTACTTTCACATTTTTTTAAATGAAAATTAATTCTCATACTAGAGTCTAATTTCCGTTCATTAAGGATAAGACACTATGATTTCAAGCAGTGAGTTTCTCCAAATCCAGAAACCTTAAACATATGCTCAACACCAAGCTTATGAGCAACTCCATTTACCTCAATATGTGTGCTTATCTCTAAGCATGTGCTTAAGTGCTTTGTTGGCAAAAGCTAGAGTGCTTATCCCTTTCCCGATGACCCTATTTAATATTTACTGGTATTAATCTGCTCAATAACTATAAACACCAGAAAAAAAAAATATCATGGAATTAGCTCTACACAGAGCTTTTCCAAATCCAATTTCTACATTACCCAGGAGGGTCAAACTGTTCCATGCTCAAGGGCTGACCCCAAAGCCACGGGAATCAGTGGAAGGGTGTTGACCAATTACACCGGTTTGGGGATGGGATCCCCAGTGAGCAGAAACACCTTTCTGGTTTTGGCACTGTGACTAATAGGGATAACAAAGGCTCTACGCTGACATTAAGAAAATTCGTTTTATGTATTGACATCCTGTTAACCTCCAGCGCACTTAAAGGAAGCTGTTAATTTAATGGTTGCGTCAGAAAGATATGGCAGAACGTACATTGCTGAGCAATGGAGGAAATCTCCAAGCCTAATGTCAGCATTAACACTGCACAGGACAGCACAGACTGCAGGGTCCTCTGTACAGCACATAAATTTAAAGAATCTGCCCTTGACAAGGCAAAAATTTTCAAATCAAAGCGGTAGTAGCTGATACAGACTCTAGGTACAGGCTTTGGTATCTGCCTCCACCATGAAAGCTGTCCTCCAGCAGCAAAGCCTCTCTAGGTCCTACGTGTCCTTCCACTTGGATTGGATGCAAAATGGGTGGATTAATCCTCACCCACCACTTGGGTAAGAAGGTGCACACAGGTCTTCTCTCACCCTGTTGTTAAGGGTTCTCCACAGCCCTCAAGAACCAGAAAAGTTTAATTTGCTATTAAGTCTGAGCAGTGCCGGGATTTCACTGCAATTAAATTTGCCTACAGGTGGTATCCATTTTACTGAGACACCAAACTTATATTGCGCATATATGCAAAGGTAAAAGTGGAAGGTAACAGTAAGACACTTCTCTAAAATGAGATGCTTGACCTAAAAATATAGAAAGATAAAGACCCTGACTCAGCAAAATACTTCAGCGCATACCTAGCAGCAGCCACGCAGATGATGCTGTTGAGCTCAGCCTGACACAAGTGCTGTAACTAGCACTATGATAATCAGGATTCATTACAAGTTGGACGGGATCTGACTTACAATTGTGCCATAAAAACATGTTTTTAATCAGTGAATGCCAGTACTTCACTTGAAGTGATGAAACTATAGTCTTTCCATTGCTCAGACACTGGCTTAGGTTTATATCCCTGAAAATACCTTAACTTACAAGGGCAAAGTAGACAGATTATTTGGGTTGTTGCAGTACTTCTAAGAAAACCTTTTTCTTTGTGTGTCAGGCTGGCACTCACACTCGAGACGCAGCGCACTGACCCACGTTTGATGCGTCTGCAGATCTGAGCACTGACCTTCCAGGCACAGGAT